GTAGCTCTCGAACTAGTCTGCTGGCATACTTTTGAACCTTCTCCAACTACATCTTGTGTTTAACTAGGGATGAACTTCACGCTGGAACTGTATACGCTGTATACAGTTACATGGAACTGTAAAGAATTAGTCGGACATATGTTGCATATAAGTTTCTTAATGATTCCTTTCACAAATGTCTAAAGGCAGTCCTAATATTAGCCAGCCTTGTATGCGCCGCTGATATGCTTTTGATGCGTATGTCATCAGGTTACAGCCCCGCTCCTGTGCCAGGTAAGTCCACTTCGGGCTCACCATAGCCCGTGCTACTTGGAACTTTTTGTTCCCAGTAGCTGAATCTTAAACAACAACTTTTGATGTGGGCTTCTGGGGACATGTTCAGTGTGACATCATCCCTTAGACCCTTCACTGTCCGTTTCTTAGAGGATTTCATCTCACACTTGGTATCATATGATGGGAATCCTGTGTGTGTGTCTGTGTGTCCCTGTGTATGTGGTGTGTGTGTGTGTATGTGTGTGTGTGTGTGTGTGTGTGTGTGTGTGTGTGTGTGTGTGTGTGTGTGTGTGTGTGTGTGGGTGTGTGTGGTGTGTGTGGTGGTGTGTGTGTGTGTGTGTGTGTGTGTGTGTGTGTGTGTGTGTGTGTGTGTGTGTGTGTGTGTGTGTGTGTGTGTGTGTGTGTGTGTGTGTGTGTGTGTGTGTGTGTGTGTGTGTGTGGTGTGTGTGGTAGGTGTGTGTGTGTGTACCCAAGGAAACATGGAAATATATTTACAACACATATTCAATTTTTAAATGTTTACTGGAGCTGCTGGGGGGCCTGAGTCGTGTATATAAGCATCCTGTTTACTGCTTCTCCTGCCCGTTGTTTGCACACGTCCGCCCCCACACTCAATTGCACTCACTTTAACATACCACCTGGATTGCGTGCGTTCGACTCTATTCACTATATCTCTTCTGTTTTTCAGTTTCTCACCTTGCATCTGCGCACCTCATCCCTCATTTCTCACGAGTCTACATGGATGTGTGGATGAGGAAGTGATACTGAAAATATGAAGTTCGAATCATGATTTAACATTTTGCATCCAGATATCACTGTCAATTTTTCCGTCGATGTATAGAGACAAAACAAAGGAAGGAATGGAACAAAACTAACAGCCATTGGTATATCATTATTATTATTAACATTTTTATAAGGATAGACATGTCTTTATTGGTCATTTATATATGATGGAAAGGTCTTCGTCAATTTGTGAATTTTCGAAGTTTCATTCAGCAGGATTTCAGCGAACATAAACATATATAATCAGGTGGGATGTTTGAGAGAAGTGCCGAGAAGATGGCTGGTTCTAAGTTCGTCAATCTATGAAACTTGTGTTTGAGTGCAGGTTCCTAAGACATCGGACCACAGGCAAACATTCACACACACACACACACATACACACACACACACACACACACACACACACACACACACACACACACACACACACACACACACACACACACACATACAAACTTGAACATCTGGACTACAGAGGATCTACAATTTACAGTGAGACGGAAGGGTCCATCCAACAACGAGATATGTTTGAATACACACTAATTAGTCTTCTCCAAACTAGCTTTCATTAACATACAACATTTTGAACTGTTTATTCACCTTGAAGGCGAAGAGGTTAATAAAGGAGTAAACATCTGGGAACCTCGTGACCTGAATTAGTAAGTCTGGCAATCATCCTCACGTTGATTGTGTGGAGGATAGGTCATGCTTTACAATCATATTTTTAGCTGTTCCACGTTTCACAGAAAGTCAACTCTCTTTCTTTACATTTATTTTCCAGGAGAATAATTACAAATTGTTTGTATTATTCCTATTTGTCTTTGTGTTAAGCAAAAATGGGCAAGAGGGACATAAGGCATTGCCGAGGCTGTAGGGATTCGATCTGGGACCTGCCTCTCAGCTGGGCTGCCTACCAGAGACCTGCATGACTCCTGGGCTGCCTACCAGACACCTGCCTCTCAGCTGGGCTGCCTACCAGACACCTGCCTGACTCCTGGGCTGCCTACCAGACACCTGCCTGATTCCTGGGCTGCTTTCCAGACACCTGCCTCTCAGCTGGGCTGCCTACCAGACACCTGCCTGACTCCTGGGCTGCCTACCAACACCCTGGGACTGTAGAAGACCTCTAACACTCTCCTCCTCCCCGTGGCTAAGACACATCGTCCCGTTGTGTAAGATCTGAAGCTGCCTTTCTTAGTGACCTGGTGAAGAAAGTTGAAATTCCCATCTGGCAGAAAATACTGAAATGTCTTCTGGTGTTACTAATACAATCAATCATTGGCCTGTCGTTTGAAGTTGAAACTGACTGCTGTTAGTTGACTAAACGATCCATATTGACCACATCTGGAAACCTTTGCTTGTCGGTATCGGGTCATCAGTCGAATGTTTGACTAGTCGTGACGAAGCTCTTAATTGGCTCCTAAGAGTTTTTATGAACATGACTGAGTAGGATTAGCGACACTTCAGCACCAAATGTTGTAGTTTGGAATCCCCGTGATAGACAATGAGACAATGATAGACAACCCCGTGATATAATGTCATGCAAAATGCAGGACTTTATATTAAAAAAAAAATCTCTTGCATATTATAATACTGATTATGTCAAACAAAAATATTCATAGAAAAGTTTAATTCTATATAATAATCTTATAATAGCTAAATGACTAGTCAGGCCATAAATGCCTGTTTGAGGTGAAGGAGCTGACACACAGAAAGCGCCAGGCTACTCTACAAGACTCCTGCTATCGCCGCCTTCTCGATATCTGCTATATTATTAGCAGATATCGAGATATCATATTATTATGTCTATTAATTGAATTAAATCGTCATCAATATCTACTCTACCTAATAAATAATTGAAATTAATCCTTTTTTTTACGTTCTGGCGTTTTTGGCTTTCTTTGATCTTATAACATTCGTGGTCGAACCGGTTGTCTAATACTGCGAGACATCTATCTCCACGGAGCCAAGGTGAAAGGCTGTCACTCCTCACCTCACGTCTGAGAACCTTCATGCCTGGCTTGTGCTCCCAGCCAAACAATGCCTTTTTAACACAACAATCAACAGCTTCCATTGGTAATTCAAGGTTCTGCACCAATACAACAATCAAACATTAAATAGTAATATATATATATATATATATATATATATATATATATATATATATATATATATATATATATATATATATATATATATATATATATATATGAACCTTTGTTATATTTGTTATGTTCTTCACTGGAGAAGGAAGTTGAACAGTTAACTCTCCAAAGTTCACTTTGCAGTTTTTATTTGGCTTGATGATAAGAGGCATGTTTCCTTGAGTCTGTCAACATCATCAGCGGCAGAGATGAAGTGGTGTAGATTAGCTAGAGTAGCAGAATATGTGAACATGTAGTATGAGGTTAAGTACGGCGTTGCTGAATCGATATTTGCCGCGTATGGGCCAACAGGCTTTTTACAGCTTCCTTAATTCTTATCTTCTCACGATGGTCTAAGGTAGTGTGCTCTGGATATTCTGTCTTGGTCTTGAGAATAGTAGAATGTGCCTGAGTGTGAGCTGGCTGTTGATAGTTAAATTTGTTTGAGAAGAAAATCATTAGGGGCGATGACCAGACCACACACTAGAATGTGAAGGGACGACGACGTTTCGGTCCGTCCTGGACCATTCTCAAGCCGATTGAGTGTCCCATTAGGGGCACTGCGATGCCCCTAACAAGCATCGCAGTGCCCCTAATAAACACGCATTAGCAAGCATTCTAAAAACAAACATTCTAGTGATTTCCAGACGCTCCCCTCTTAACTCACTCGGCCACGTGTAGGCGGGTCAGGTGCAAAATCCTGGTTGAGTCACCGGTTGGGGGCCCACCAGACCTTCCCAGTGAGTTCAGAAGAGTTATGAGTTGATTGGCTTTTCTCCTTCCGTGGCCGAGTGCTTTAAGACGAGCTTCTGGGAATCACCAAAATGCTTGTTCAAGTCACCTCATTACCTTAAATGAGTTTCTCATTGATATATCATTTATATATCTCCTCATTGTGATGTCTTTGTGTATTGTCTGAATCGCAATGCTCCGCCTATGTCTACTCTTCTACTAGACACCTGGCAAAGTATTGCATATCATTCTCACCCCAACTATCACCAGGCAGGTCACGCTCAAGAACAACTGCCATACTCAAGATCAAGTCACAATACCCAGCAGCCAATGCAGCAGCCGTCAGGGTAACATAAGAATTAAAGAAACTGTATCAGGCCTTATACAACTAATACATGAAATTTGTGAGTAAATTTTTCAACTTTCTTCTCTAGTGAGGAACACAATAGAGAGAACATTCATGCTACAGTCATTGATCTCATATTTTGATTCGTATCCAGTAACATTATATATATATATATATATATATATATATATATATATATATATATATATATATATATATATATATATATATATATATAATATTATATATAATGTGCACTCTTTCGCTTCGAAAAGTAAGTTTAATAAAAATAGAAATATGGAGGAGAAGCCTTTGCCTGTGAAGCAGACTAGTGTTTTGATTTCATCGTGGACGTTATTGGAAGGGATCCGACACACGCAGTCATTTTAATATTTTTCTCTATGATATGAGTATGGATCCCCCTTTACACACATACACACACAATATATATATATATATATATATATATATATATATATATATATATATATATATATATATATAATATGTATATACACACACACACACACACACACGCAATTGACGATCACAAAACACTGATCATTTTCATGCGGAAAATCCACAAAGAAATGTGAAAGGAAAGGCCGAAACGTTCATCTTCCTTTCACATTTTTCTGTAGCTTTTCCATATATATATATATATATATATATATATATATATATATATATATATATATATATATATATATATATATATATATATATATAATAGTTTTTTCACAGTTTAACACACACACACATATACCATACCAGGTATTTTCGGCTACATTTGTGAATTGCTTTTTGTGAATATTTTACCCATTTAATATTAATTTGATTTTTTTTTCTATATACATCTATATATATATATTTTGTTTGTTTTATATTTGTTTCGTCAATTCTGGAGTGTGAGTCATGAACACATGACTAGGAGTGTCACTTGCGCTTCAGACCAGTTTGCCCTGGTGTGTAGCCATGTTTTAATTCATTACTTTATAAAAAACCAATCTCACACCTGTATCGCCCTGTAAGGAGTTATTGCATTGCACACTGCGTCACACACCTGTCTGTAATAAGGCCAGACAGGTGTTAATGTTTACATATCACACGTGTGTATGCTCTGTGATGAACACTTACTGATTATATTTTTCTCATAATTTACTCATTGTTTCTCATTAAGATCTCTTGACTTTTCAAACTATTTCCGGCTTTCTCAACTCTCACTTCTCTGTTTCTTGTAATCAACGTCTTTTTTTTACTGTTTTTTTCCAATAACTCGCGCACTCTTAAGGTACACAGCTTACAAATTCATTACCCTTTTGGCATAGAAGTTTGTAAACATAATATGCATTTGACTAGGAAACATTTGGTAATACTCTTGAAGCCCAGAAGATTCGAGAGCAAGAATGTTTTTTATTTTTGTCTTTCGTTTAAGTTCATTTTCTTTGCAATATTGATTTCATGTTTTTTTTGTGTTTTATTTTGCATTGCATTCTGTACGTCACATTCTCACTCGTGTTCAACTTTGTGTGTTGTTTTGTTGTGCTTGTAACGTCGCATTTTGGTGTTCTCTAGTGTTTTGTTTTATCACGTTCCTCTGGCAGTGTCGACGTAGCGTCAACACGTCGACCTCTCGCTCACTTTAGCGTCAACACGTCGACCTCTCGCTCACTTTAGCGTCAACACGTCGACCTCTCGCTCACTTTAGCGTCAACACGTCGACCTCTCGCTCACTTTAGCGTCAACACGTCGACCTCTCGCTCACTTTAGCGTCAACACGTCGACCTCTTCCTCTGCCTGGCTGCTCTATTAATTCCTGCTAGAGGCTCAGGGCGCCTGAAAGGTGTTACGTCTGTGTTATATACCCACGCCACACTCAGCACCCCCACGTCACACTCCCTACGTCACACTCCCCACGCCACATAAACCATATAGGGTCAAACACACCTACATAAAACTGAATATAGGTGTGTTTACCCTGCCCTGACCGTCCCTGCCGGTCAGGGCAGGGACGGACCTGACTCTAACCTTACCCAGGCGGGACCAAAGAGCCAAAGCTCAACCCCCGCAAGCACAAATAGGTGAGTACACACACACTTCTACCTGCGTCACCTTTCACACTACATACACGCGTCATACACACATCATATGTCGTGTGTATGTCAAATGTCGAATACGTCAAACAAACAGATCAATGTCACATCTCAGAGTCATCTACTTTATCATGGCGACGTCTTAGTCTGTGTGGTGAGCTGCCCATGTAACAGTGGGCACTTGGCCCCATGCCATGAAGGATGCCCGGAGAATGGATACGTTGATAGATTGATAGATATTATAAAAGATGATTGGCAGATAACCACGTGTATTATTTATTTATTTACAAATATGAATGAATGTGATATATAGATATTATCTGGCAAAGGATATTTGAAGGTTAAACAATGAGTAAAAATATACAAACATGAATGAATGACTGGCCAAACTGTCATTTGAAATGTTTGGTTGGTTGCCAATATAGAGTTTATGTAACCATGTGGTTTGACAGCAGTGAGGAAGAGGAGTTGGCAGTGCCCGCAAGAGGTGAGGTGAGGTGAGGTCGACGTGTCACCTCGTCAGGGAGGCAGCCTCCCAATTGGGTCGTCAGACAGCAAATCCAAATATCACTATACTGTAAGGGTCGACCACCAGGGGTCACACTGTTCCCGCGGTAGTGGCTTTAGTATCTGTTTCTCAGGAGTCAAAGTCACTTTTTTTTTTAAAGTCCAGAACTGGAATACTCCAGGTAAAATGTTTTCTGAATATGAAGAAAGTGAGCAGCTACTTGAGCTACCTCTTATGTTCCTCCTCGTCACTTTCATTGTCTCTGTCGTATGAGGGAATGTATATAGCATGGTGGTGGGCGGGCAGGGCTTTCCTCACCTCCCTCGTGCAAACACACTTGCACAAGATATTCTGGAACGCGAATCGGAAATCTTTGCTAAAGAGTGCGTATATGCAGGGATTGATGGCAGAGTTGCAGTAGCCCAGCCAGAAGAAGACGGAGAAGAGGAGAGGAGGGATGCAGGTGGGACAGAACCCCCTCACCAAGTACATGGTGAAGAAGGGTAACCAACAGAGGATGAAGACCCCGACGATGATCCCCAGAGTCTTGGCCGCTTTGGTTTCCATGCGGAACCTTTTCACTTGTACTTTAATGTTCCGTCGCCCCATCCTGGAGGTGGCGGTGCTCCGGCCTCTCACAGGTCCTGGATGATGAGTCTCGCCATCCTGACTCGGATACCTCCGGGTCTCTCCTTCTGGACTGTGGAACCTCCTAGTCTTGAGGCTTGAGGGCGTGGAAGGCCCACAGTCGGAAGTGGGGGTCAGGTTGCCCGGGTGGTGTCTTTGAGACGTCGAGTCTATCTCGGAGAAGTTAGTGTCGACGGTGAAGCAAGAGTCCGTCTTGCTGGTGTCGTTCCGGCTGACGGAGAGGAGGTCAACGTTGGTGTGGTCCCTGGAACACTGGGCGTTGCACAAGTCACACCGCTCTGACAAAGCGAAGTTGTTGCCGTCGTACTTCATATCCGGCGGGAGAGAGATGCTGGACTTCATGATCAGTTGAGGTCTGAGGTTCTTCATCTTGATGCTGCTTACTTTACCTTTCTGGCTGTTTTTTCTGTGGTGGTTGTTGCTCTGGCCGTTGTGCCGCCGATCCTCTGAGCTGCTACGGTGTTCCTGGACTGAATTACGGCCGCGATGGATGCGCAAGGTCAGCCGCTCCTCCTGGAAGCGGCTACCGAGGATTCTCTTGCTCTTAGTGGTTCTGAAGCCCTGGTTGATAGCCCGCGTGGTCTCCGCGGCGGCGCAGTAGATCTTCCAGTAGAAGAAGAGCATCACAAGCATTGGGATGAAGAAAGAACCGAGGGCTGAGTAAACCACGTATCCGGTGTCATTGGTCAGCTCACAGGAGAGGTGGCATGACACAGCGTCGTCCAGGCCTGTGTCGGACGCCGCCGAAGACGCCGACACAAGGTTCTTGTGTCGGTCGTTCCACCCGACGAGCGGAGGGAAGCAAATGGCGAAGGAAGTGATCCAGACCGAGGCGATGAGCAGCTTAGCCCTGGACGACGTCATCAGCGATGGGTAGGACACGGGCCGCGTCACCGCCACGTACCTGTGGGCGACACGGAAGTCAGTTCCACACACGGAAATTCACTGCAAGATGAACATTTTATAAAAAAAACTATATTATTTTTTATATTATTTACATATGAACATTTTATATTATACCAATAGTTGCTATTAGATTACAGACCTACTTCACCTAGCATCAATTTCCTTAAATAAACTTAAACCTGACAACAAGTGATTTAAGGCAAGATTTGCCGGGACAAGTTGACGACTTCGTTAACAATCCTTAACAAAAGATGTTTATTAACATCTTTATGATGTCGAATAAAGGCCTGCAATCAGATCAGATAAAGGAATGCAATCAGATATAATTGTTTCCAGTAACATGTTTCATATGTTTATGTGAACTAATAATATTGGAGAGACATTGTTTTCTGTGGTGTGGCAGTTGATAAAAACATAACAATCTGATGGATCTTAAATTAAGAGCAGGGGTGCCATAGGCACAATCAGAGAACACTGTATGAAGGCGATGAGTCACAATAACGTGGCTGAAGTATGTAACAATCGACTTGAGAATGGTCCAGGACGGACCGAAACGTCGTCGTCCCTTCAATTTCTAGTGTGTGGTCTGGTCAACACTGTATGAACATCAGAGGTCCACGGTTGTTCAACGTCCTACCAGCGAGCAACATAAATATTACAGGAACAACCGTGGACATCTTCAAGAGGAAACTAAATTGTTTCCTTCAAGGAGTGCCGGACCAACCGGGCTGTGGTGGGTATGTGGGCCTGCGGGCCGCTCCAAGCAACAGCCTGGTGGACCAAACTCTCACAAGTCAAGTCTGGCCTCGGGCCGGGCTTGGGGAGTAGAAGAACTCCCAGAACCCCATCAACCAGGTACCTTAATGTGAAACACGTTTAAAAAATATATATATATATCTAATATATAAAAGTGCATGTTTGATTCACTACAAACCCTATATATATATATATATATATATATATATATATATATATATATATATATATATATATATATATATATATATATATATATATATATATGTCGTACCTAGTAGCCAGAACGCACTTCTGAGCCTACTATTCAAGGCCCGATTTGCCTAATAAGCCAAGTTTTCATGAATTAATTGTTTTTCGGCTACCTAACCTACCTAACCTAACCTAACCTAACTTTTTCGGCTACCTAACCTAACCTAACCTATAAAGATAGATTAGGTTAGGTTAGGTAGGGTTGGTTAGGTTCGGTCATATATCTACGTTAATTTTAACTCCAATAAAAAAAATTGACCTCATACATAATGAAATGGGTAGCTTTATCATTTCATAAGAAATTGAGAAAATATATTAATTCAGGAAAACTTGGCTTATTAGGCAAATCGGGCCTTGCATAGTAGGCTGAGAAGTGCGTTCTGGCTATTAGGTACGACATATATATATATATATATATATATATATATATATATATATATATATATATGTCGTACCTAGTAGCCAGAACTCACTTCTATGCCTACTATGCAAGGCCCGATTTGCCTAATAAGCCAAGTTTTCATGAATTAATATATTTTCTTTATTTTTTTTCTTTTGAAATGATAAAGCTACCCATTTCGTTATGTATGAGGTCAATATTTTTTTATTGGAGTTAAAATTAACGTAGATATATGACCGAACCTAACCAACCCTACCTAACCTAACCTAACCTATCTTTATAAGTTAGGTTAGGTTAGGTAGCCGAAAAAGTTAGGTTAGGTTTGGTTAGGTAGGTTAGGTAGTCGAAAAACAATTAATTCATGAAAACTCGGCTTATTAGGCAAATCGGGCCTTGCATAGTAGGCTGAGAAGTGCGTTCTGGCTACTAGGTACGACATATATATATATATATATATATATATATATATATATATATATATGAGTTTGTGGTGGATAAAAACATGCAAATACTTTTATATATTATATAAATTTACTGTTTGTTTACACGTGTTTCACATTATCACAAAACCACCTGAACATCTCCTTCAATAAATGTGTAATGAAACACGTTAAAAATATACACTGAATATATATATATATATATATATATATATACATATCGTTGTTAAAATAGGTGTACGTTTTATGCCGGCAGATAACAGCTTGTATTGTGTTAACTTGGTCTGCGATCTATTACAAATATTAATTGCTAAATGATTACACTGATAGTGTTGGGACGTACACAAGACTCTCTACAGAAGCTGCAGCAGACATTGACCAGCAACAATCTTATCCCTTAGACTTTATCCAACTGGAAATCTTAGATGGCCAAAAATCACAAGTTCTCCAACGATAAATATAGAAGAGAGAGAAATGAAAAATCAATATGATTAACAAGAACAGTAAATAACATAAGAAGAGAGCCTTAGATAACATAAGATTTGTTTCTGCTGATGGGAAGATGTGTGGGAGAGAGAGGTAGCCTCTTGAGAGTGGTCCTAGTGTTAAGATGATGGGGAATAGTAGCACCATGATCTCTTACTTAGACATTTACCTATTCTCTCATTTATTAAACTCCCATCACCTTCACCGATCTCCCTCGATGCTCGAGCACCATCCCCAATCTCCCTTTGGCTCTCATAAACCCCCTTTCCCTTCCTCCCTACCTTAACCCACCCTTTCCAACACCTCCCGTCCTCCCTCCCCTAACCCCTCCTCCACTCTCTTCATCACTTCCCTTCCACATCTCTCTCACTCTCTTCGCCTCATCTCTCCCTTTCCCCCACCCCCGCCACTACCCCTGTCACACGTGACCAACAAGGCAATATTGGTTCGCAGGGCGGGACGCTTGCTGAGGGGGGGGGGGGGGGGCGCAGGGATTGGGGGGGTGCCTAGCGTCCGGGAAGCCTAGTGGCTGAGAAGCCTTTTGGTTGGTAATCCTAGCTCTCTGGAAGTCTAGCCCTCTGGAAGTCTAGCTCTCTGGAAGTCTAGCTCTCTGGAAGTCTAGCTCTCTGGAAGTCTAGCTCTCTGGAAACCTAGCCCTCTGGAAGCCTAGCCCTCTGGAAGCCTAGCTCTCTGGAAGTCTAGCCCTCTGGAAGCCTAGCCCTCTCTGGAAGTCTAGCCCTCTGGAAGCCTAGCTCTCTGGAAACCTAGCCCTCTGGAAGTCTAGCCCTCTGGAAGCCTAGCTCTCTGGAAGTCTAGCTCTCTGGAAACCTAGCCCTCTGGAAGTCTAGCCCTCTGGAAGCCTAGCTCTCTGGAAGTCTAGCCCTCTGGAAGCCTAGCTCTCTGGAAGTCTAGCCCTCTGGAAGCCTAGCTCTCTGGAAGCCTAGCCCTCTGGAAGCCTAGCCCTCTGGAAGCCTAGCCCTCTGGAAGCCTAGCTCTCTGGAAGTCTAGCCCTCTGGAAGCCTAGCTCTCTGGAAACCTAGCCCTCTGGAAGCCTAGCCCTCTGGAAGCCTAGCTCTCTGGAAGTCTAGCCCTCTGGAAGCCTAGCTCTCTGGAAGTCTAGCCCTCTGGAAGCCTAGCTCTCTGGAAGCCTAGCCCTCTGGAAGCCTAGCCCTCTCTGGAAGTCTAGCCCTCTGGAAGTCTAGCTCTCTGGAAGCCTAGCTCATTGGAAACCTAGCCCTCTGGAAGCCTAGCTCTCTGGAAGTCTAGCCCTCTGGAAGCCTAGCCCTCTCTGGAAGTCTAGCTCTCTGGAAGCCTAGCTCATTGGAAACCTAGCCCTCTGGAAGCCTAGCTCTCTGGAAGTCTAGCCCTCTGGAAGCCTAGCCCTCTCTGGAAGTCTAGCCCTCTGGAAGCCTAGCCCTCTCTGGAAGTCTAGCTCTCTGGAAGCCTAGCTCTCTGGAAACCTAGCCCTCTGGAAGTCTAGCCCTCTGGAAGCCTAGCTCTCTGGAAGTCTAGCCCTCTGGAAGTCTAGCCCTCTGGAAGTCTAGCCCTCTGGAAGCCTAGCTCTCTGGAAGTCTAGCCCTCTGGAAGCCTAGCCCTCTCTGGAAGTCTAGCCCTCTCTGGAAGCCTAGCTCTCTGGAAGCCTAGCTCATTGGAAACCTAGCTCTCTGGAAGTCTAGCCCTCTCTGGAAGTCTAGCCCTCTCTGGAAGTCTAGCCCTCTCTGGAAGCCTAGCTCATTGGAAACCTAGCCCTCTGGAAGTCTAGCCCTCTGGAAGTCTAGCCCTCTGGAAGTCTAGCCCTCTGGAAGCCTAGCTCTCTGGAAGTCTAGCCCTCTGGAAGCCTAGCTCTCTGGAAGTCTAGCCCTCTCTGGAAGCCTAGCTCATTGGAAACCTAGCCCTCTGGAAGCCTAGCTCTCTGGAAGCCTAGCCCTCTGGAAGCCTAGCTCTCTGGAAGTCTAGCCCTCTGGAAGCCTAGCCCTCTGGAAGCCTAGCTCTCTGGAAGTCTAGCCCTCTCTGGAAGCCTAGCTCATTGGAAACCTAGCCCTCTGGAAGCCTAGCTCTCTGGAAGTCTAGCCCTCTGGAAGCCTAGCCCTCTGGAAGCCTAGCTCTCTGGAAGTCTAGCCCTCTCTGGAAGCCTAGCTCATTGGAAACCTAGCCCTCTGGAAGCCTAGCTCTCTGGAAGTCTAGCCCTCTGGAAGCCTAGCTCTCTGGAAGCCTAGCTCATTGGAAGCCTAGCTCTCTGGAAGCCTAGCCCTCTGGAAGCCTAGCTCTCTGGAAGCCTAGCCCTCTGGAAGCCTAGCTCTCTGGAAGTCTAGCCCTCTGGAAGCCTAGCCCTCTGGAAGTCTAGCCCTCTGGAAGCCTAGCTCATTGGAAACCTAGCCCTCTGGAAGCCTAGCTCTCTGGAAGCCTAGCCCTCTGGAAGCCTAGCTCTCTGGAAGCCTAGCCCTCTGGAAGCCTAGCTCTCTGGAAGTCTAGCCCTCTGGAAGCCTAGCCCTCTGGAAGTCTAGCCCTCTGGAAGCCTAGCTCATTGGAAACCTAGCCCTCTGGAAGCCTAGCTCTCTGGAAGTCTAGCCCTCTCTGGAAGCCTAGCTCATTGGAAACCTAGCCCTCTGGAAGCCTAGCTCTCTGGAAGTCTAGCCCTCTGGAAGCCTAGCCCTCTGGAAGCCT